CAACCTTTGGTGGATATTCCATTTTTTCACCAATCCACTTCACGGTTTCCTCTGAATGCATCAAAAAATACTCATTAAGCTTGAAAAATGTATAATCCACTATTGCAGTCACCGGCAATGGGCAGGCACCTCTGAGCACATTGTTAAAACATTCAACCATGTTACTGGTCATGTCACCATATCTCCAACCTCCTTTGTCATGAGCACGTGCCCACTTGTGTTTCTCCGGAAAATTTCGTGTTAAGAAATCTTTCCCTCCTTCGTCCGCAGCTTCGTAGAGCTTGTCATAGCGAATGGTGAACGCACCGGTGATGAAGGCCACGCAAACATGGGTTAGATCCTTGCTCAACTCCTTGCTCTTATATGCCCTATAAAAGTTTGCCACGAAATGCCTCATGCACCATTGATGGTGGAGCTTTGGAAGTCATGGAATAACAATGTCCATGGCTTTCAGTATGCCCTGGTGTCGGTCTGATATAATGCACACTTCTCTATCACCAATGACATTTTCCCTAACATGACGCATGAACCACTCCCAGTTGTCTTGGTGCTCAAAGGGCACCAAACCAAATGCCACCGGCAACACATTGTCATTGGAGGAGTGCGCCATTGCTACCATGATTGTGCCCTTGTATCGGCCGGTCAAGAATGTGCCATCAATAGACAAAACCGGACGGCAATGCTTAAAGTTCATGATGCATTGTACGAAACTCCAGAAGGCATGGTGAAACACCCCATGACCATCATCCTTGACCACATGATACATGCCGGGGTTCCTATGGGAAATCGCTCCCAACAACCGCGGGAGGCGATTGTATGCTTCTTCCCAACTACCATACACCATCCTTAAAGCATTTGACTTGGCCTTCCATGTCTTCCCATACTTGACTTTGTATCCAAACATTTTTTTAACCGTCATCATGAGGAGCTTCACCTTCACGGTTGGATCACTTGATACTTCTTTCATTAATTTAAACCTGAGAAACTCAGACGTGAGTTGACGGTGTGTCTTAGGCTTTTTTTGTGACGGTGGCCTGCATGAGTGAGTACACACACAACTTGTTAACAGCCATTGCCCGATTTTAATTCTTCTTCCATGGACCACCCATGGGCATCCTTCTTTGTCACAATGGATTGAGTAGCACACTTTTTGGTCCAAGTGCCCAATAAGATATGGTCTATGGTTCCTAATAGCATAGTTACTTAGCCATACTTTGAAGGCCTGCAAACTCACAAACTTCAACCCTTTCTTCAAGTAAGCATTCTCGTCTTCATCCTTGTCCCTTGGTTCACCCGGTTCCGAGCAAGTTCTCGGCTCTATCGCCTTACTCATGCCACCATCAACTACCACCTTGTGGGTCAGCCTGAGATCACAAAACAATGGAATTCTTATTTCCAAACCGGTCACCTCTGTGTGTATACGGTTCTCTCTCTCCGTGAATCCATCCGCGTCCAGTTTTTCCTCCGGACCTTCATCATCCGAGTCATACACATATGCACGACCATAGGGGATCTCACGGTCCATGTCCCGCTGCCTGACAAACGCTTCCAAGTCACCGATGTCATTGCCATGAATCTCATCCTCTTGCTCATCATCAGCACTGCATCCATCCTCTAGTGCAAGGCGAGCCCTTTCAAGCTTCCGAACTCTTTCCTCCTCTTGAGCCATCTTCTTGTTTTTGCATGCCATGTCCGCCTCACGCTTCTGTCGTTCCCTCTTCTCCTTCTCTTTTGCGTGAGTCTCATCCTCGTGCCTGTCATCATCATCATCACCATGACCACATTGGACATCACCATGACCATCAACATATTGTTCATTAACTTTTTCTAGAGCATGCCCAACAACTTCATTTTCTTGGCTATGTGGCGGTTGGCTAGAAGTATTGGAGGCATAGTATCCACAACACGAGCCACACTTCTAGTAGGGCTCATAGCATGACATGGGGAGGACACTTGGCGGTTCAAGTCAATATCAAGCCGCGGACCTTGCCCCTTCGTAGCAAACAATTCAAGTGACATGTCTTCCGGGGCCGCAACTTTACCCTTCAGTCGAGATTTTGTTTCCAATGCAACTCAGAGATGATAGGCATATTCTTCAGTCGAGATTTTGTTCCCACCCCAACATCATACATTCCTATTAATTCAACTTTTTCATTGGGGTCCATCCAATTCAACTTATCTCTTACTTTAATAACAACCTCATCATAACTAGGACTTGTGTCGAATACCAGCACTTCCTCGTTGTCACTTGCAGTTTTAGTCACAGATGACGCTTTTTCCAAATAATGAACATTAACAAGTCTCTCATCCATCTAAAAGGGACAACAAACAAGATGAATAAATGATAATTACAATGCATAGTTGCAAAAACTATGCAACTCTAATGAAGCAATGATAACTATATATTCCTAATGAGTTGTATCAAAAACAAATTGAAACTTATGTACTAAATAAATCATGTCATTTGCTTAACACATAACCTAACCCTAACCATCATATTTATCAATTCCATCATTTGTACCCACAAAATGCATATCCCATTACTACTACAACAACTGCATATTAATTAAAAGCCATCCAATACCAAAGGATTTGAATAAATCTAGAAACTAAGGTGCCACCTAGGGTTACATGATGCCACTAAAATAACAAGAAATTACCAACAAAATTTAGGGATCCGGGGGAGATTACCTCAAACAACAAGGGAGAGAAAGATCCACGGAGGAAAATCAAATTTGAGCAGGATTTGAGTGAGCCTTGAGGTGGGAGAGAGAGGGGAGCTCTCCTTTGTTCTTCTTTCTCGGGATGGAAGATTGGGATTGGGAGAGTGTGTGGGGTGGGTCCCACACACTTTCCTCATGACCACTTATCTCTCAGGGGGGGTAGACGCCAAGGTTCCCGGCGTCTAGGGTCGGGGTCGACAATTGCCACGTTGGACAGACAAACTGCTGACCAGGGAGGTGGGCCAGGCCTAAACGCCACGGTTCGCGGTGTCTTCAGTGCAAGCAGAACGCCGCGTATGTTGGCGTCTCGGTTTGGGTCAGATCCGAAAAAAGTTTCAAACACGGGTCAAATCGTGCTAAACTTTGAGACATGGGTCAGAACAGTGAAAAAGTCCCTATACTCCTTTTACAAAAAGTACATCTATGCTTCCTCTCACAGTATACATATGCTTCCCCAAACTATGCTCCTTTTATTATGATGGAGGGGGTCTTACATTTTAAGACAGAAGGAGTACCTTTTACAACTCATCGTGAACTATCTAGTATAGTCAGGTAACTCTTCCCTTCGTTTCCTTTTAATTTGTGTATTAAATTTGTCATAAGTCAAATTTTGATCAACTCTATATTAAAAAATATCAACATCTATAATATTAAAAGTACAATATAAAAAATCTACAATGAAATTAATTGTACCGATTTGATATTGAAATGTTGTCATTTCTTGTATAAATTTGGTCAAAATCTATACAGTTTGACTTAAGACAATGCTAATACGTGAAGTAAAAAAGAAATGAAGGATTAGTAATTTTTTTAACACCAAACAAACACAGACACTCATACATATGCACATACACTCATCCTTATGATGCACAAAAGTGCACTATGCAGGAGTACACGCCATAGGTTGGTATGCCAGGGTGCGAGTTAGAGCAACTCTAGCAGACCCCGCATAAGTGGTCAAACCCGTAAAAAAATTCCGTTTTACAGTTTCGGGCGAAAAAAATGTCCAGAACAGAAACCGTAAAAGCGGTCCAACCCATAAAAGGGCCACCGCAAATGCACACCCGAAACCATTATCTTTGGAGGTTGGAAGGCCGAATCTAGGGGGCCCTGTATACCGGTCAAACCTCGTCGGAGCAAACACGCCGCCGCGGAGTTTGCCGGAATCCGCCCTAAACTCGCCGGAATTCATCACCGCACACCGGAAAAGGCCGCTAGACGCCGCAATCGATCGCCACTGGTTCGAATTGGACGAACTCAACATCGTCGTGGCCTCCCATGACCTCAGTTTCGCCGCCGGAATCCTACCGGCGCGGCAGGCAAAGGGGCACGACTCGGCTGGCAATAGAGCAAGGCGCGGACGACGGAAGCGACGGGGCGTGGCCGGCAAGCTGTGCGTGGACGCCGGAGGCTGGGCGCGGCCGGCGCGGTGATGGGGCGCGGCCGGCAGGGGCGGGGCATGGCCGACGGGCGAGGGGACGCGGCCAACGGGCGACGGGGCATGGCCTGCGGGCGACGGGGCATGGCCTGCGGGCGACGGGGCGCGGCCGACGGGGTTGGGCGTGGCCGGCGCGGCCAGCTGGAGGAAGGGGCGGCAGCGGCCGGACTGGAGGCCGGCCGTAAATATACTTTTTTATGGATCCGTTTGGGGGGTCTGCATCTGTGCCAGCCCGAGTCAGCCCGCAAAAGCGATTTTACGCAAACTGCAAACACGTTTTGCAGGCCGGCGGGATGCGGGGTCTGCTAGAGTTGCTCTTACAGCCCAACCCCTGGTAATGCAGCTAGCTACTGTGCTGCCGACCACCACTGATATTTTTGCTATCATTGCCGACATGCAGCAGCTACAAGACCAGATATTTGCTAGGCACAAGATTAACAGTAACACCGCCAAACGACAAAGCCCTTGCGCGCAGGAAAAAAGACCTACACTAGTACTTATTTTTTAAGGGGAAAGACAGATCTGGTAGATCCTTTTTGAGGGGAAAGGCAGATTAGATCTTTTTGAGCCGACAGAAACAGCTCAACAACTCCCTCCTCCGTCTATCTATCTCTGTCACTCTCCTCCGGTGTAGTGTAGGAGGAGACGAGGCCGAGAAGCGGAGAGGACGAGGAGGTGGAGGACTGCCGCCGCGCCGGAGATAGGATGGCGATGGCCATGGAAGGTGAGGGACTCCTCACTCCTAGCTAGCTACCTCTCCCCTCCCGGCCACATGGAAGGTGACTGACTTGTATGTATGTGTGTATGTGTTGGTCCTTTGTGCTGCTGTTGCTGCCTTGATGATGATGCTGATGTGTGCTCTGCTCACAGTGTAAGTCCATCCATTATCCAATTGTTTGTCACCTTCATTTAGCTTAATTACTCGACTGTTTTGTTTTCTATCACTCACAGAATTGATGTTGCATAATTGATTGCAGGCTCGCTCGACTTGCCTGTGTGTTCTCCACGGCCATTCTTTTGCAGAGCCTGGTAAGCTAGCTACAGTAACTCTTGTTTCAGTTAATTACCCGCTGTCTGCGCTTCAGTAACTCTGAGATGAGACAGTCTGCTTTCACCTTCTATTCATTTCTACACTCGGTTCATGCCGTTACTCTGTCTATGAATTGTGGGAGCACTTGTGCTCAAGAGGCATCGAATGAAATGGAACAGAATGTGTAAAAAAGAAGTTGTGCTATGGTTGCTGCTCAGGTTTACTTTAGTTATCAGCAGGAGCCACACATGCTACAAAAACAATTTTTTGAAGAAAAAAAAAAGATTGTTCCATTCAGAAACATTGCTCTGCGCCATGAAAATGATTTTTGGAAATATTCCGTAGCCTCGCAATGTTTTCTGTTTCTATATAAGTAAATAAGTAGGGCCTGACTCCGGCTTTTCGCACTGGCCCCCCAAAATTTCTTAGGCATGGCCCTGCAGCAATGGAGAGAGAGGCTTCTCCTTCTCCTACCCCCAGTCTCCAAAGGTCCCCTCCATTGTCAGCGAGAGGTACAGGACTGCCTACCACTTCCAACCTCCAAGGAACTGGATGAACGGTATGCTGTTTACCTCTCTGCTTCCTTCTTCAGCTTCCTCTCTGGTTCATTTTGTGGGTTATCTGTTCACTTTTGTTTGTGCTTTTCTTGTTATGGGTCCAAGAAAAAGCAAGAGATCTGATTGGTTGCTGATTTGCCCAACCGGAGAAGGGAAAAAAAGTGCCCATCTTAATTTGGTGTGCTAATATTCAATAATATACTTGTTTTTTAGGGGATAATATACTTGTTAAAATACACATAATACTTTTGCAGTAGTATCATTACAAACTGTTTGTGTCAAAAGTAAGGAAGCGCCTAGAGCTCAGTGGGTTGAGAAATAATCAACGGTTGTTATTGTGTTTTTCTTTCCTTCTGGACTTTTTTTGTTCGTATAAAGTTTGGGGCCAACTCCTATTTGGCGCCTATAGCGCTGGTTATAGGCAAAACCGTACACAACGCATCCCCCCTCCCCCCCCCAATTTCCCTCTGCTAAATTTCTTGGGCCGGCCCATATAGGCATGTTTCCGTGAAGCTCCTTCCCGTTGGTTGTTTTTTACTTTTTTCGTTTCTAGACTTTTGGCCCTTTTGTCTTTTTTTTTCTTTTTTCCTTTTTAAAATATTTTCCTTTTTCAGTTTTTAAATGCATGACCTTTTTCAAATTTATGAACTTCTCTCAAATTCGTAAATTTTTCAATTTCATGATATTTTCAGATTCACAAGTTGTTTTTGTACTAGAAAGCTGTTGTGGATTATGAACTTTTTCCAAATTTGTGAGGTTTTAAAAAAATTTGTCAAATTTTCTTAAACTCATGAAGTTTTCAAATGAGCTAAATGTTTTTCAAATTCATGATGAAAAAAATTATGAACTTTTCTCAAAGTCGTGATTTTTTTATTTTCATGAACTTTTTCAAATTTACAAAAAAAATTACAATTCAAGATTTTTTTTCTCCAATTTTTTATGAACTCTTTTCCAGGCCACAATTGTTTTTAAAAAATCAATTTAACGTGCACGGTCAATGGTCAAAGTCAATGCAGCGGTCTAAAATCTGTGCTCAAATGCGCTCGTGGACCGCTGCCCATATAGCTCAAGCGTGAGCGTCAGCAGCCTGTACTGGCGCTATAAGCGCCAATTATGAACTCTCACCTTTGGTTTGTTGCATTTTCCTTTTTTTCTTTGTTGACCTTGTTACATATATTTCTAGTTGATTATACACCAAAAAAACAATATCAGAAAATATATAATAAAAATGTTCTACTCACGAAACTAGGGTGTCACATCATGTGTCCAAATAATATTAGGCAGATCTCTCTTTTTTGAAATTAATATTAGACTGATCTGTTATACCCATACGGAAGTAATGAATTACTGGCTTTGTTTTGAAATCTAGAACATCTTCGGTTTTGTTTTACCAATAACCATATCCTATTAATTGTACCTCTATTTGACATTCTCTCACTCTTTTCATATATTTGATGGATTGGCGATCCTTGGAAATCTACGACAACAAAAAAGATCCATGTGGTATGAATACCTCAGGCGCAAACACTTACATAAATAAAAAAGGAGAAGAAATTGCATCATTCTACATCTTATACTGCCTTTATAAAAATTTCAGGACCAATGTATTACAATGGCGTCTACCATGAATTCTACCAGTATAACCCCGATGGCGCCTTTGACCCCAATGACTCCCTCATGAACATGGTTTGGGGCCATTCGGTTTCAACAGACCTCATCAACTGGATCGGTCTTGAACCGGCAATAGAACCGGATACCCCGAGTGACATATGCGGATGTTGGACCGGCTCAGCCACAATTCTATTTGGTGAACAACCGGTCATCATATACACTGGTCTCATCGATAGGAAGGCGAATCAGGTCCAAAACATTGCGCTTCCCAAAAACCGTTCTGATCCGTACCTGAGGGAATGGGCCAAAGTAGGCAATAACCCAGTGATCCAACATGTCATACCAGGCTTGAACTCGAGCCATTTCAGGGATCCGACAACCGGTTGGATTGGACCGGATGGACTATGGAGAATAGCAGTTGGTGCTGAGGTGAACGGCATCGGTACTGCACTTTTGTACAAGAGTAAAGACTTTATGAATTGGACTAGAATTGCACGCCCGTTGTATTCAAACAATGCCCTCAATATGTGGGAGTGCCTGGATTTCTTCGCGGTGTTGCCGGGAAGTAACAATGGACTGGACATGTCTTCGCAAATTCCAAGTGGCGCCAAGCATGTCCTCAAAGTGAGCATCAATTCCTGTGACATGTACATAGTTGGGGTGTATGATCTCAAACGTGATGAGTTTGTGCCAGACACCGTCCAAGATGACAATCGGCTGTGGACGAGGATCGATTATGGTACTTTCTATGCTTCAAAATCATTCTTTGACTCCAAACATGGCAGGAGAGTCATATGGGCTTGGAGTAACGAGACAGATAGTTATTCAGATGATATTGCAAAAGGCTGGGCAGGAATCCATGTAAGAAAATCTACCCTTAGCTTCCGATTTAACAAATCAGTGTAACATCTTTAACCCAATTTTTTTGTTACATTTAGTCAATCCCCAGGACAATTTGGTTAGACGGCGATGGCAAGCAGTTGATCCAATGGCCAGTTGAAGAGATTGAGTCCCTTCGAATAAATGAAATCAACCATCAAGGACTAGAGCTGAAAAAGGGAGATCTATTTGAGATTAAGGGAATCGACACTTTGCAGGTAGTTCCCTATTCAGTATTCACAAATCAACTGGTCTTCCAAAGAATTATTTTTATTTGAAAAAGTGTCATGGCAATAAAAGCTATAGGATCTCCTGATAATTATTAATTACTTTATAGATAGTACATTTTTGGCAACAGAAAAATAGGCATATATATATCTCAGACCAACGACTATAACTAACCGGGCACATAATAACAGGCTGACGTTGAGATAGATTTTGAGCCGACGTCCATCGATGACGCCGAACCTTTTGATCCTTCCTGGCTTTTCGACCCCCGGAAGCATTGCCGGGAGGCGGATGCATCGGCTCATGGTGGCATAGGGCCATTTGGACTTGTTATTCTGGCGTCCGACAACATGGAGGAGCACACTGCAGTGCACTTCAGGGTTTACAAATCACAGGAAAAGTACATGATCCTCATGTGCTCTGATCTAAGAAGGTTAGTGCTTATGCTTTTTTGACTTAATTTTTGTTACCCTTGATTTCCATAAATGTCAGTATCTATTGATGTCTGGAAGGAAACTGAAAATAAATATTTTCTATTCTTTGCACAGGTCTTCCCTGAGACCAGGACTGTATACACCAGCCTATGGAGGCTTCTTTGAATTTGACCTTGAAAATGAAAGAAAGATATCCCTCAGGACTCTGGTGAGTTGGGAGGCTTAGTTTGTTACAGTAATTTCTCCGCTAATTCACTTGATGACAGAACTGAAATGGACACCATGGTGCAGATCGATCGGTCCGCGGTGGAGAGCTTCGGCAGCGGTGGCAGGATCTGCATCACGGCCAGAGTTTACCCGGTGGCACTTGTCGACGACGGCACCACCCACATGTATGCATTCAACAATGGAAGTACCACGGTCAGAGTGCCACAGCTAAGGGCATGGAGCATGAAGAGAGCACAGGTGAATGTGATGAAGGGTGGAAATGTGATCGATGCTTAGCACAGAAGAGCAGTTCTAGTCAGACGTGTGATTGAAAGACTGGCCACGCACTTGTTGATTTCAATATTTAACACGTGTATTTGAACTTTTGAAGTAGTGGCAATTGGTAAGTAAGCGTAGTGCTTGTTGCCAACAACGATTTAAATTCGCAGAGGTTTGGAATAAACAGTATGAGCTTGTGCATGCCACAAAGTTCAAGTAAGAATGTATGTGCATGCAACAGTACTGTAGAAACCAGCAGCTTGTCGCCAACCATCTTTCTTGGCTGTTTCAGAAAGTTGGGCATGCTTATCTTTCTCCTCTGTTTGAACATTAAGGACATGTACAATGGGGGCAGCAGGTAGGTGATGCCCCGTGCATCCACCTAGACAGAAAAGCATGAGGCGCTGGTTGAATTTTTCTCCTCCCAACGCATTGAGCTGAGACCACCAACTTTTGGACCCATCCCCTCTCTCTTTTCAGATCATCTCTGAACCATTTTTTAGCAAGAGGCAAACATGCAGAAAAGGACCGGGCTCTCTCTCATCACTTTGGGACGTTGGACCACAGCCTCTCTCCTGGGGAGCCCGCCTCTTGCAGAAGAATCACCTCTCTGCGAGGCATCTACTTTTGCTCCACGCTGGCATCCGAACCTAGCTGGCGTGTGGAGCGGCACCTTTGAGGCATACCGTTGGCAATGCCCTAACAGGCACATCTAGCATGACGACCGAGCATACCTGTAAGGGCATGGCCAATGGGCTGCCTCAAACCTGCTGCCCCATTGTCCACCTAGGTTCGGATGCCACGTTGTAGAAAAAGTGGTAGCCTTGCAGGTCCTGGTGTGGCTTGCAGAAGAGCCGGCTGCTCCATGCGAGAAACCAGGAGAAAGTGGGGAGAGAGGAAAAGTAGAGGGAAAGCAAGCTGGAGATGGTCCCAGGAGGTGAAAAAAGAGATGAGAATCAGAAAGGAAAGAAGATGATGGTGGGTTCCACAGAAGGGTAGCTTCACGTTTAACGTTGGATGAAAAAAATGGAACTGGTAGCCCCATTTCCTTGGTCATAGGTGGCTGAGCTGGGGCAGCACCTAGGTGCTGCCACCATTGTACATGCCCTAACTGAGTGCCTCAAAAGGTAAAGCAATATTTACTGAGTGCCTCGAAAGGTAAAGCAGCCCCTTGAAACCGATGACATGAAGTTAAAATTTACATGCTAAAAGCACAAGACTGAGCCGAGCAGGCCGTCTGGCCCTGTTCGTTGACTTACTTGACTAGTAGCCACGCACCAGCCCATGAGGCCACGACTACGAGCGCTTCACTCAGCGAAGGCACATATCGGCATATCGCCCCTTCAAAAAAGAACGTATCGGCATATCGCCAATCTCTTGGTCAGTTCGTTCGACTGTACGTCTCCAAAAAGCAGCGATCCAATCTCCGACTGTCTCCACGCCGGCGCGCCGCCAGCGTCCGTCGAGAAGCCAGGATAGTAAGGAAGGGGACGCCGCAACGCCCGGACAGGCGCCGATCCACAGACACGTTGCCGACAGCCCGGAGGCCGGAATCCCGAACAGAACGACGGCGGACGACGGGATAAGCGGCAGCAACACAAGGGGAAAAGGTAATTTATTTTTACATGGATTAGTAGTTCATGCCTTTAAAATTTGTAGAAGTATAATCATACAAACTATAGGCCTTAATCATCAATATAAATTTTTCAATTTTTTTGTGCTTGTGTAGTTATGCCCGAGAGCCCGGGCGATGTCTTCAAATTTGGCAACTTCCTCCTGACGAGCATGATGCTGCTAGGCGTTTTTATATATCTAAAGGGGCTTATCAACCAATCTTAAAGCTAGATGTGTATGAATTTACTGGGACAGCGGCTGGCCATAGGCAATTCCAAAGTGATTGGTTCACAAATCATTTCTGGTTACAGTGCTAAGAAGTGTAGCAGCTGAGCTACAAGGAACTCAAGAGGTGATGCTGGAGGTGCCCTGAAAATCATACTCACATTTGATTTTGTGTTCATTCTACACTTAATGGAAAGAATCATTAAAATCACGGATGTCTTGTGTTTGAAACTTCAACATAAATCTTTAGACATTGCAAATGCATTAGATTGTGTTTCTAACACAAAGGTGTTGCTTCATGAACTAAGGGAAGATGGATGGTGCAGCCTTTTTGAAGATGTGAAATCCTTTTGTGTGAAACATGATATTGACATTCCGGACATGGATCAAAAGTATGTATCTTTTCCTATCTCTCTATGATTATTTAAATTACAATGTAGAGATTTAGCCCCTTGCATACTTACTCATCAATGTGTAGATCATGCAACTAATTCATATTTTTCAATATATATTAAATTTAGGTATGTTGATGTGATGAAATCTCGAAATAAGCATGACAACGCCACAGCTATCCATCATTACAAAGTGGATGTGTTTAATGTTGCAATAGATCAACAAGTGATAGAGTTGAATGATCGATTCAGTTCTCAAGTAACTGAGCTTTTAGATCTTTGTTCATCATTGGACCCGAGGCATGATGCCTTCAGCAAGTCAAAGATATGCAGACTAGTGGAGAAATTCTATCCTGCAGATTTTTCTAGTCAAGAAAGAGATCGGTTGGAGTGCGAGCTACTACATTTCCAGCTTGATACATTCAACCATCCAGAGATCAAGAACTGCAGATCACTTGCTGATCTAACGAAAGGAATAGTTAAGATTGGCAAGTCTTCTGACTATCCAATGGTTGAGAGGTTGTTACGATTGATGATAACTCGTGTACTGCAACAGCAGAGCGAGCCTTTTCTGCAATGAAACTAGTCAAGACGCGGCTTTGAAGCAAAATGGGAGATGATTTTCTTTGCCATTGCATGCTAGTTTACATTGAGAAGGAACTTGCAGCCTATGTGCTACATGTTTCCATCCGGTCGTATGCGATTTGTCATGTCAGCAATCTTGCGATGATGTTAATTTGGATTAAGCTCAAACAACATCTTGCCTGACAAAATGTTGGGCGGGCGGGACAAATGTGACAGGACAAGTGCACCAATTGTGACGATGACAACAACAACTCCACGGCTCACGAGACAGGTGAAGAATGGGAATGGTCCATCAAGCACAAGACAACTAGCGCCGTACCGCCAAAACCGTAATTTGCTTTGCACGGGCCCTATCTTACGTGAAAAGACGAAAACAATATGAAGCAGCGGACCCATGCATGCCGGCCACACAAGCAAATTGAGCGTCAGACAAGAAACATGCATCCCACGCTCTTCGTAATATATTCTTGTGATCGCATGTCAGTCACGGGTGCCCCTACCCACCCACCCACGCACCCAGTTCATAACATATACTACTATTACATCATTGTTCTTCGTCCAAAACAGGGAAGCTCGATTTGCGTGGTGCTCTGCCGACTGCCGCCCGCCCGCCGGAGACGACGATGGCGATGACCGTGCAAGGTGAGGGATTCCTCCTTGCTTGCTTAGTTAATTGTACCCTCCCTGGTCCCAACCCCATCTCAGCCAAGTTGTTCGCTCCAGCTCCCTAGTCGGTTGATTAGTACTCCCTCCATTTCATAATTTATTTACTGGAATCGTCGCTGAAATGGATGTATTTAGAATTAAAATACATCTAAATATATCCATACGTGCGATAAGTAATTCGGAACGAGGGAGTACTTGCCAAGTGTCTGACGAATAACTTACTGGATTTTCTGCTGCTGCTGGCTGGACGATATGTCTTGTGTCAACTCACTCTTGCTTCATGTCTGCCTTCACAGTGTAAGTTCATCCATTGTTCGATTGCTTGTCAGGTTCATTAACTATTCGATTCGATTTGTTTCTTCCGATTATTTAGCTCCAGGTCTTCTGCTGTTGCAGTTGGCTTGGTGGCCTTGCGTGTATCTTCTCCACCAGCCTTCTCTTCCAAATCCTGGTAATTCAGCCACCCATGTTCACTCACTCGCTTCACTTGCCTCTAATTATAGCTAGCTCCACTCCTCTCTTTATTAAATGGACTTTAAGCTTATTACTTACGGACGATGCCAATCATTTGTTTTAACTAGAGCGGAAAGGACTGCAAATTCGGACTGATAATAGAGTTACGTGGGGCTCACAGCTCAGGTGGCGCGCCCCCTGGTGGCGCGCCGTGTGAGCTTGTGGCTCTCCCGTACATTTTATGGCCTCCTCCCGAAGCTTCTAGGGTCCCTTCTGGTCCACAAAAAACACTGTAAAGTTTCATCGTGTTTGAACTTTGTTTGATATTGTTTTTCTATGAAACAATAAGATAGGCAAAAACATAAACTGGTACTAGGCACTGAGTTAATAGGTTAGTTCCCAAAAAGATATAAAATTGCATATAAAAGTATTTAAGATTAATAATATAATAGTATGAAACGATAAAAAAATATGTTGGAGACGTATCATGGTGCAGCACCGTGCCTGCTTCTCTCGTTTCCAGCCTGCCCCCGGCGACCGACAGCGCTCGAGGTCCGCATCGAAGATTGGATTTTGCTTTTGAGGCACTGCTTCTATTTGGGTAAATCGAGAAAAACCCAAACCTGAGATATCGGGTACTCAAAATGTCAGGTTTTTATTTTTTCTTTTAAGACAATTTGGGTCTGAGATCTGAAAACCTGAATAAAGAAAATACGAATAACCCGACCTAAAATCTCGGGTAAACCCGAATGCCCTCCAGGAGAATAGCGATTTGAAACTCCGCCCTTGAGAATCTTCAGGGTGAGGGTCAATAAGATTTTTAGAGACCGTCTCAGTGCGCTCGCTCAAGTTCGACTACATCCTAGACGTCCGTCC